CGGCGCGTCCGGGATCCAAGAGGCCGGGAGATACTCCCCTCCGCCAAGTGAGTGGCCGGGGAAGGGGCGGCGGGGGCTGCTCGGGCGGGCGGTGAGGGCGGGCGGGCAGCGCTCCGCTCTCGGGCTCCGAGCCCCGGTCACCGAGCTTCCCTGCTCCCCGGGCGCACGCTAGACATACACATGTATCTATCAATTGTAATGTATATATGTATTTATACCGTTTATATGTATGTTACATATTTCTTCGTATTTATTTATGCAGCCATCTATCTGTATACTTACATATATCAATATACAGTGCTTTTAAAACTATAGAAAAATCAGGATTTATCACGGGCTAGATCCCTTTCCCGACACACGGCTTCCTGCTGCCAGTCCGTCCATTTATGTTATCCCTTTGCAACGTGAACTGGAGATTCTCCCTGTTTCCTACTGCTTTGCACCAAACCTCGCAAAGCAACCCCTGGCTCTTAAATACTCCGGGATTGTTCCTTCCAGCTTTGCGCGCTTTCTGCGCGCTGACTGCCGTCTCGGACTCTCCTGGCACAATGTTTGTTTCTCTCTTCCTCGTTGCATGCAGCCTGTCAAAGTTTCCGAGCTCAGCCCGACCTCTTTAGCCCCTGCCATCCCTCCCGCTCCGTCCCCACCGCCTTAGGGACGCGGTATCCGTGTGACAGGTCACTTCTTCAACTCGTTTGCTGTTCGAGCCGCTCTGCTGTGTCTGCGCTGAATTGCTTTTCTCTTTCGGTGAGATCCCTTTAAAAAACAACAATCAAAAAAAAAAAATCAAAGTATTTTTAAAAAAATAAATTTAAAAGCCCCAAAAGTGCCCTGAGGAGAAGGTGAGCAGCGCAGCCCGGCAGTGCCAGGCTCTGCCTGCCCAGGGCCCAGAGCCGTGGCCGCTGGACACCTGCACTAACAGATGGGTCTGATGGGTCTGCTCCCCTCCACGCATCCTGAGCTTGCCTGACTAAATGCTCTCCTCACCGAAATGCTCTGCCTTATTCAGGTTAATGACTTTACCAACTCGAACTATTGAGCTGGGCAGTCTCACAGAATTGGGTCCTGTAATCTCATTTTGTAAGAAGGAGGTTTAGTGCTATTGCAGCTCCTCTTCTGAGGGGACAATCACTTCGGTTTGGCTTTCAGCCGCTTCCTTCCCTTTGCCGTAACCCCGAATTCATTTGGTTTCTAACGTCCCGGGAGAGGGCCCAGGAGAGGGGACGAGAGGAAATCAGCCCGCCCGGCTCAGTCCCTGCGCAGCTCCAGTTTGCGATTTTCGTGTACCCTCAAGTTTGCTGGAAAACCGTGAAAAGAAGCCTGTGCACCTACCCAGGCCCCCTCCCCTGCACTGCTGGGAGCCCCAAACTTAGACAAGGCCTAACATTCTCCCAGTACACTTGTTTCTCTTCGAAATTCCTCCTCTTTCTCTATTAAAACCGTCCTTTGTACAGGACTGCAGGAGGGAATTCAGCGGGTTTGTGGCCCGAAAAAAATAAAAAATAATAATTTTTAAAATGAAATTGTGTTGAGGGAAGGGAAGGTCTTTCGGCCTCGATCATTTTTCTAATTTCCCACCCGGCTCTCGGCCCCCTCGGAGCCGAGGGGACATTGCAAGAGGCAATGACCTGTTCTCTCGCAAGAAGCCAGTCGGTCCATGGAGAGTTTTGACGCGAGAAGTAGCTTCTTAAATCATTATTATTAATAATATTACGGGTGGGATGAACCGGGGGAAAAGCTTCAAGTGTTAGATTTTGAGCAACACGGTGAGGGAAGGCATATACAAGTGATAATTTGTGTCCGGCATTGGCCAGAAAACAGAGAATAAACATAAAAAACACCCAAACCGAAACCGAAGGGCGGAACAAATGGGTGCAGTGGGTGCTTGAGCACTGGCACGGGGTGAACCCAGCGACGGGGTCTGCTCCTTATCTGAGTTTAGCAGTCACTTGTGGGCTGGGGAGGGAAGAAGCCCGTGGCCGTTTGAGTGTATTCCGGAGGAAATATTTATCCGGGATTGAATTTTAAAACATGTTTTTGCGCTTTCCCCCACGCATAGGAAAGCTAGGATGGTTCGGGTTAACCCGAAAGGCGGGGAAGGCGCCGGGATGGGAGCGATCCCAGGTCGCCCGTGTAGTTTCCTCCCTCCTGGAAGAAGCACTGTTAGCTGGGGCTTTGGAGAGCTTGGCTCTGAGACGGGGCGGGGGGGGAAAGAAAAGGTGGCCTTTAAATAGAGAGAGTGTAATAGTGGTGCGAGCTTAGCGAATTTAGTGTTGATTTACTGTAGGGTAAGTTTAGTATAGTTTTAGGAGTGAACCAAGTGTCACGGTGAGCACCTTAATTATTGAAATGCCCCCGTATGATCACAAGACGGTTTTTCACAAGTTGTTTTCTAAGAGGACTTTATTTTTTGCTTTTATTATCTAGAAGGAGGGTGTGAAGAGATATACAACTTTTTCTGCTGTAGCCGTTTTCTCCCTTTCTTTTCTGAATTCTTGAGCACTTTTCTCGGGTTTTTTGCTTTGGTTCTTTTGTTGTTGTTTTTTTAATTGCAAGATACTCACCTAGACAGCTTCGTGGTCCAGATTATGTCTTTTAAAAAATAAAATTAATAAAAGAAAAAAGTGAAAAGCGTTCAGAAAACAGCATCTGCAAATACGGACAAGTGTTTGAAGCAGACACTACAGCACGTATAAAATTTAGCAGCCTCTTAAGAGCAGCCTGAATGTCATTTTCTATATCAAGCTGGGAAGCCAGGGTGGCTTGTCGTTTGTCCCAGGAGTGACCTGAAGCACAGCCAAATTGCTAAGTTTTGCAAGTCAGCCGCAGTGTTCTTTAGATTGCAAAATTATTAGTGAAATGCAAAATGAATCTAGAGACAAGTCCGTGAGGTGCCATCTGGGCACACATGCCTGACCTAGTTGGGGTTATAAAGCAAGAAGGAGAGGTAGTAGATTTCCTGACTGGTATTGGTTACAGAAGCTGCAGTTGTGTGTTGGGTTTTAATCGGCAAATGTCATAAAAGCTGAGTATTTTAAAAGTTCACTGCCTTCTCCTTTTTTTCCCTTTTTTTTTCTTTTTTTTTTCTTTTTTTTTGATACTTGTTGAAAACCAGAAGATACTTCTTGAAAAGTTGTTAAGCAGAAATAAAACTTGCTCTTGATTTTAAGCAGAGAAGAAATAACAAGAAAAATGTCCAGTTATCAAAACCACAAAAAATACCAGACCCACTTCTTCAGCTGTCAGAAAACAGATAGGCTTGACTTATTACTCTTGGTGGAGAAATCTTGGAATGGGACTGGGCTGGGCTTGTCTCTAGCACTACTGTCCTTTTGTGAATCTCCTGCTTTTGCGTATATGTTTACCTTGTGTTTGGTTGGAGCTCTCTCCAGCTCTGCAGCCACCAAGACAGCTGGTTTGTGTGCTCTAGACCACTATGATGTGACTCCTAAAGCGATCTGCTGTGTGTGTATCTGTGAATCCTCTGCACCCCGTTTGCCAACAAATTCTCATTTTGAAATCACTGAGCATAAATTTAACTTCCCAGCACATCTGATGAAGTTCTGTGAACTTAACTTTGGCCAGGAAGAGATTTCCAGAGCAACTTGCAAAAGGATTCCCTGTTTTGAGGGTATCACCTGGTGGAACACTCCTTTCCTGCCCCAGCCCTCAAATGCTACACATCTCTCCGAAGCACCCAAATCTCCCTGCTTTTGTGATAACCAGCCTTTCTCTTCATTACAGGACACCTGAGCCCCACTGCCTGCACCCTGAGGAAGCACAAGACGAATAGGAAGCCCCGAACCCCGTTCACCACTTCCCAGCTGCTGGCCCTGGAGCGCAAGTTCCGCCAGAAGCAGTATCTGTCCATCGCCGAGAGAGCAGAGTTCTCCAGCTCCCTCAACCTCACAGAGACCCAGGTCAAAATCTGGTTCCAGAATCGGAGGGCCAAGGCCAAGAGACTGCAGGAGGCTGAGCTAGAGAAGCTCAAAATGGCAGCAAAGCCCATGTTGCCATCGGGGTTCAGCCTCCCTTTCCCCATCAACTCTCCCATCCAGGCTGCCTCACTGTATGGAACATCCTACCCTTTTCACAGACCTGTGCTTCCTATCCCACCTGTTGGACTCTATGCTACTCCCGTTGGATATAGCATGTACCACTTATCCTAAGAAGATCAGAAAGACAAAGCGACAGTGAGACAGACTTCCTGGTGGATCATGTCCAATCCTGAGAAGACAGTACCCCAACCAGTACTGGCCGCTCTTTCTGCACGCTTCTATTTGCCATCCTGAGTGTACAGGAGTTTGCATTAGCAAAGCAAGGCATCCTGTATACTATGGGTTGGGTGTCTTCTGAGAGTGCTCTGAGCGCTCAGAGTTTGAGCCTCAAAGAAAAAAAAAATCTGAAAAAAACCAAACAAAAAGAAAAAAACATTTGAGCAAACGTAGGGGTTTTATACAGTGCAAGTAAAACTAGAATAAAAAGGAACGGGTGAAAAAGCAATCTCATCTCATGGAGGCAGAGATTTCCCAACACCTTCCTGATGGGGACTAACACATGTTTAAAGTAAGAGGGGTGCGTGCCCGAAACCCACACTCTCAAGTGTCATCAATTAATATGGGGGCAGGAGGGAGGGAAATAAAAAGGTATGATCAAGGTTTTGTTGTTCGTTTTGGTTTTTTGTTTTGTTGCTTTTTGTTTTGGTTTGTTTGTTTTGTTTTTAAGAAAGCAAAGTCCTTAGCTAGAGACACCATGTAAATAGAAACTAGATCCAATAGAGTCCGAGAGAAGTTCAGAGCCAGCAAGTTCCTGCATTTCTGGGGGTAGGGAAAATTTTTTAATCCTAAACCTTGATGGATCTTGGTAACAAGATGAGCACCAGGGCCCCTAAATGTAAAGGAACAGCTTTACCCACCACTGGCTCCTGTATAAATAGCTTCAGTGTTTTTAAAGCACTGTGAGGGGAGGTAAGTGCAAGGGAGGGTTATTAGGCAGTCTGGTCTTTATCTCTTCCTATTGGCATGCTTAGAGATTTTTGGCTACTGCCAGGTAATCTTGGCTCTGCAGTGCTCTTTGAAAACCAGGAGAGAGGGAAGGAAGTTTTTGGGGGAAAGGAGATGTGGGTTGTTTCCACAGTGGTGGTGAGCAAAGGATTGTTGAACACTTCTGGGAGATGTTTGGGGTTTTTTATTAGTATTTACAACAGTCTGTATTGAATAGAAGAAACCCCCTGAGTCTTCCTCTCCTTCCCGGCAAAGGATGCCAATATAAGTGACTCATGCTTCAAGCCCTTCTTAAGAGAGATCCAGGTATCACAAACAAACAACCCTACTAATAGGATGGTGGGATGCCAAGAGACTGTGTAACCCAGCTGTCCCCGTGGGAGCTCCCTGAGCACTGGCACTATCTTCCCCAGGCTTCTCCTTATAACTATTGTATTGTGTGTATTAGCCTTGCTAAACTTCGTGAGAAATTGACTCCAAAAGCAGTGGAGCACTGAAGGCAGAGCTTCTCCTGGATTTATTTTCTTAGCGTGTTGTTGTGGAAGAAAGAAAGAAAGAAAAGGAAAAAAAAAAAAAAAAGGAAAAAAAAAATAAATAAAAAGCCACGAGGTTTAGCTGGTTTTGGTTTGCTTTGACCCAGGCACTGTCACCTCCTGGGACCCACTATAGATGAACTTCCCCTCTCCCTTCCCCTCACCCCCAACCTTCCATTATAGGGAAGTCCCTTTGAAAGGGATGCCTTGTACAATTTTATATATTTTATTGAAGATTTATTATTTCTTATCTCTTATTTCGAATTAAATTAAAAAAGAAAAAACATGTTTAATCGCGTGTGGGTCTTTGAGCGTTTGGAGTTCTTTAAAAGGTAACTTCTCTCTCCGTGTGCGTTTTGCACCGCTGGGTCAAGTTCAAAGGAATGTTTAGGTTGCCTTTATGATTATTTCCCCTTTCTGAATCTGAATTAAAGCCAAATTTGCAGCACATGAAGCTGAATTGCGAGTCAACAATTCAAAGTGGAAAGCCAAACCTTTTATGAGGTTTCCTTGTTTTTAACAACCTCTTTTAGGCGCCTCCGTTCTTTACAACATTATACTCTAGTGATGTTTCCATCACTTTTCTCAGCTCACGTGCCCTTTCTTGCTCAGGACTCTCTTCCTGACTCGCCTTCCCATTGACCTCAAATCTGTGCTTTAGTGGGAGACCAGTCTCGACCCCCGCAGTACTTGGGGTTATTTCGGTACGGTAAGACCTGGCAGGGACCGTGCAACACTTCAGTCCTGTTGCATTTCAAGGCTCCCACGTGCTCTCAGCCTGTCCCACAGTTTTCGGGGCAGCCTCCCTCGAGACACTCGCTCAGGTGCTGCCCGGGTTGCAGGTGCTGGGGCACCCGCCCCTGTCCTTCCTGGCGCGGAGGGCTCGGGTTTGCTCAGATAGGAGGAGTACCCGGCATGTCAGTGGTATTTTATCCCCATGTCACACCGAAGTCCCACGCTGACCCAAAATACGTTTTGCTGTAGGAGGCTCATTCAGATTAGGAGCCACCCCGAGGATCCCAGTGGGAGAAAAAGGTACGTTTGCCTCTGATGAAACAGCCGGACAATGTAACTCGGCTGCACAGAGGAGACCTGCCTCCTGCCCCAGCGCTCTCAGACCCCTGGGCAGCACCTCTGCAGCGCTTCCCGAAGGGGAAGGACCAGGGGTTCGGTCCCCCCCCAAAAAAACCCGCCTGGTCTTCGCCTGGTCCGTGCGGGCCAGGGGAGCGGCAGGCAGCACCCTGCCGGATCGGGCCCCGGCTCTGAGAGGGGGAAAAGGGCAGGGGGGGTAAAAACACCCGCCTATCTGGACTGTGAGGAGGGGGCTGCGGGCTGGGTTGCCGGTTCGGGGCACTGAAGGCATCGCGGATCCTGCCCTGCGCACCCTCCTCCCAGTTCTGCAAAAAGAAAACCAACCCAAACCATGTTAACCTTCCCGCTTCTCAACTGTAGGGAACAAAGCAGAGTGAATTTAATCTCCATGCAGACTTTTCAAATTAGCATTTATTGCCACATAAAAACCGGAGACAACAGCTTCTTTTTCGGGCTCCCGCTTTCTGAAGTATTACCCCCTAACTGCAGGGCAGGGTGAAGCCCCTTCGCCCCTATCCTTCCCCCTCCGGTTGTCCGAGTGCTTTCTCAGCTGGGCTGGGCCGATTATAAATAAACCAGCGGTATTTTTCAACCTTCAGTATAAATCAGCTGTGTCAGGGATTACAGCTAAATCTTTTCGCTGGAAATTCTTTGAGCGCAGGAGCTTTGTGTGTGTTATGATAGATCCTTAAATGGGTACAGATTTATTGCAGAACACAGAAGTGTTGAAGGAAAAGCTTCCAAATCTCGGTTACAACCCCTGCTATGGGAAAGGCAGGACAGATCCGTGACACCTTCCCGGAGCTTGCGGATGGCATGACAATTCACCCTGCGCCCATTATTAACTTGTTCCAATTAAAGCCTTCAGAAAGGCCGAGTTAATTGAGTATTATATTTTATTAGGAGGGAGGTGTCAAGCTTTACTCATGAGACTTCATCATCGGCCTAATGGGAGCTGCCCCGCAGGCAGATCTGTAACTGAATAAATTACAGCAAGGCAGGGAAATCAGAATGCTACCATTAAAACCGATGCACTTACTGAAATTCCTTCTCCACTTTCGCAAGAGGCTGCGGAGGTGTGGCTTTAATTAGTTATTTTAATGCAAAGTTAAATTGTTCCCAAAGTATTTTCTGACACAAAGCAGATGCGATGATTAGAAGTTGAGTGAGACTGAAAGGAGTTGGCATCTGTTCCAGGTACATCTATATATTTTAAATTTCCAATAGAAAGTGAAAAATAATTAGAGCAATAAATAATAAACATTAAAAACAACGCGATAAATTATCCCGATCCTTAAAATCCCGACTTGCTGAAGGGCGGCTCAGGCCGGCCGGGCACAGCCCGGCTCTCCCGAGACCTTCCTTCACGAGGTATGGATTTGTTGACATAAACAGTTAGGAATGGGCTTTCTGACTTGCTACGGCCAAGCGTTCATTACCCAAAGCTACGGGCGCTCGGAGCCTGCATTTCATGTTGTCACGTTGCCTTGTCAAACCCCGGAATTCCTGCATTTTATGGGGCAGGAAGAAAACTCGCTGGCTGCGGCGCGGCTGGGAGCCGGAGAGCCCGAGAGCGCCGGGGTTTGATCTCCGGGAGCCCCGCTGCAAGCCCGGGGGCAACGGGCACCCAGCTCGGCGGGGCGGCCGCACGGGGGGACCCCGAGCCCTCAGCCCCCCTCAAGGGGAGCGGCGGGGAT